GTATCGAAACAGGACGCTCTCAGCCAGAAGCGCTCTAAGAACATTTCGCGCAAACAACAAGAAGGTTCTTAGAACACTCTTTGGTGGATCAATAAGAGCGCCCTCTGTATGTTGGGCGATGACGGGAGTCATGGGGGGGGAAGGCTGGGGGCGTATGACTTAACGCCCCCCCGCCGTGTGGCTCCGGCACCACAGCCGCGCCCGTGCGCACGACGCGACGAGCGACGAGCGACGACGACGACGACAACGACGCGAGCAGCATGTAGGTGGCGATCTGCCCCACTGCGCCTGTGTACACAACAACGCTCGCGTGCACCACAGCGCGCGTGTACACCACAGCGCCTGCGTACACCGCAACAGCCGTGTGCAACGCACCGCCTGTCTACACCACAATGCCTGGGAACACAACGGCGCCGGTGTACATACACCGCAGCAACCATGTGCAATACAGCGCCTGTGTACACCAAAGTGCTCGCGTGCACCGCAGCAGCGCCCGTGCACGCCACAACGCCTGTTTACACCACAGCATCCGCGTGCAACGCAGCGCCGGTGTTCACCACAGCGCCTGATTGCATAGGACAGGTAGAAGGAGCATGTACGTGAGGATCTGCTGCGGACAACTGAACGCCTCGCCAGGAAAGTTTTGATAACCGAATGCGACGTTATTCCCTCCTCCCTCCTCTTCCACTTCCTCTTCCTTTCCTTCCCCTTTTTCCTTACCCCCTGTCGTGCGGCTTGGCGCCACGGCGCACGTGCGCATCTCAGCGTGCACCGCAAAATGGTCGATTGAATCGGTACACTTGGTTCTGGGACGGCCAATTTAGCTGGAGCCTCCTGGACGCAAATGGGAGGAGTTAGGGTGATGCGGGCGGACCCGGGAGGACTCGTAGATTCCAGCGGCGCTCCTCTGTCCATAAGGATTCCTTTTCCATTGTTTTCTCTGGAATCCACAAGCGCTCCATTTTGTCACAAGGATTCCTTCTAACATTCTATACACAACAGTGGTGCTGTGCTGCATCTCTGATGTGGTGCACACAGGCGCCGTGGCGAACATAGGCATTGCAATGAACGCAGGCATTGTGGTGTACACTGGTGCTGTGTTGCACACGGCTGATGTGGTGTACGCAGGCGCTGTGGTACGCAGGAGCTGTTGTGCCCGCGCGCACGGTGGCACAAACTGACGCTGTGTTGCACGCGGCTGCTGTGGTGTACATAGGCGGTGTGGTGTACACAAGCGCTGTGATGCACGCGGGCACTGTGATGTACACAGACATTGTGGTGCAGATCACCACCTACATGCCAGTGCTACCCGTCTTCCGTCATTCCTAAGCATTCCCAGACGCCGCCGGCGCGAAACGTGACGTCATCGACCCCCTCCCCCCCAGATGATTGTCGTCATCGGCCTGGACTGAAAACAAGCTCCAGCCGCGTCCGCGCGCACGACGACGATGAGCGACGACGACGATGTCGACGACGACGACGACGCTGACGACGACGACGACGACGACGACGACGACTACGGACCAGACACCTATGCGGATTCCTAAACGGATCCCAATGCGCACGGCGGCAGTGCCCGGAGCGCACTGGGGGGGGGGGGGGGGGGCGTTACGTCATAGGGGGGGGGGAGCGGGGGCCATGACGCCCGCTATGCCCCAAGCAATAAATAGGGCAAACAACAAACCTACCTCGCTTTTGACCACCCTCGCTTCCAGGAGATACCAAACGATGCCAAATTGCAGCCTGTACTGGTCAGGCCGCTTGACGAGGAGGCGCGTGGTATGGCTTGGTTTTGCCTGGAAGCGAAAGCGGGGTAGGTAAGTCACGCTCTGAGCAAAGAAGCGGGCCCTAGGCAGGCCAGGACGCCGCGCCCCTGCGTGAGACACGGATCGGGCCGCCCGCGAAGCGCTCCAGCTCGAACCGAGATCGGATCGCCTCGCCCGGCTCCAGCCGGCCCCGGCCGAAGCAGCTCCTCGGGCCGAGGCGGAGTGGGCTCGGGGCCCCAGCTGGCAACGGAACCACATCGCATCGAAGCGAACCGTAGGCAGCCCCGTGCCCCACCCCCACCCCGCCGACACCCCACCCCGAAGAGCGAGCGAACTGTCTGCTCGGGCGCCTCGCGCGAGGCATCACTCGAAGGTCTGTCCTCGAGGCCCACCAGTTGGCGGCGCGCAGGAACGGGCGTGGCGAGGGGGGGTGCGGCCCCGTGAGCAAGAAGGCAAGGGGTCTTCTCAGAAGGACCGTGGCCCCTTCTTGGAGCAAGCCTCTCCCAAACATCCCGCCGCCCCAAATTTTTCCATGTGTGGGCCCTGGAACTCTGGGACACCGTCCCGAGTCGTTGTTTGACGCTCCCGAGGCCCGGATAGGGCTCCGGGAGGCCGAAAACGGTCAAGAATCGCCCGCTCCAATTTTTGTTGGAGCGTCGGATCTCTGGGCTCGGAGAGCAGTAGGGTTATGTCGGGCGTGTCCCTCTACAGGGGAATTCTCGACGAAAAATAAAAAATGCTCCAAAAATGCCTCCCAAAGGTCAAACAATACTCAAAAAATAGTCCCCCGACTATTTTTGTACTATTTTTTTGGTTGTTTTTGGGGTATTTATAATTTGTCGTAGAGAATCCCCCTGTAGGGGGACAGGCCCGACTTAACAGTCAGGCGTCTGCGAAAGGGGTGCCCTCGGCCAACCTTGCCGCCCCCGTGCCAGCGCCGCCGGGCCGAATGGGCAACTGCCTGCCCAGGGAGTCCACCTCTCGGGACAGCCCCACCCTCCCAGACTGCGAGACCAGCCTCGCCGAGGGGGTGACGAGCCACGATGCAGGACGAGCACGGTTGAGAAGAAGACTGCGTACATGGATACACACATATGTATAGATTCAGGTCTGAGGTACTCAGACAAACGCATACCCGATGCACACATTTGTGACATACATGTTAGCACACATATGGATGCACATAGTTGCATGTACATATGTATGTATGTATGTATGTATGCATGCACGCAAGTACGTACGTACGTAGTGATGTATGTATGGATGCATGTATGCATGTATGCATGTATGCATGTATGCATGTATGCATGTATGCATGTATGTATGTATGTATGTATGTATGTACGTACGTACGTACGTATGTATGTATGTATGTATGTATGTATGTATGTATGTATGTATGTGTGTATGTGTGTTTGTATGTATGTATGTATGTATGTGTGTATGCGTATAGGTATGCATGTATGTATGTATGTATGTGTGTATGTATGTATGCATGCATGTATGTATGTATGCATGCATGCATGTATGTATGTATGTATGTATGTGTGTATGTATGTATGCATGTATATATGTAAGCACGCACGCACGCATACATGCATGCATGCATGCATACATACCTACCTACCTACCTACCGACCTACCTATCTACCTACCTACATACATGCATACATGCATGCATGCATACATGCATACATGCATGCATGCATGCATGCATGCATACGTGCATACACCAGCATGCCTTCAGCACGTAGTGGAGTGCCCCAAGGCGCATGCAGCCCTGCAGGCCTGAGGGGTAGAGGGGGTGAAACGTTCGTCAGGGCCCAGACCCCCGCTTTTCCTGAAATTCCCAGGGATTCCCGGGGGCTGCCAGGAGCTTCCAGGAGCGGTCCAAGACAGCTTCTAGACGGCCCACTGTGGCCACAAGACGGCCCAAGAGGCCCACAAGACGCCCCAGGAGGGCCCAAGAGCTCCCCCATAATGACTCCCAGAAGCACAACTCGTCAAACGTTCGAAGGAAACAGCTGATTATTACTACATTCGCCTCTTGGGCTTTCACAGCGTCCAGGCAGGCCCAGGTTGCCCCGAAGATCAGCCCAAGAGGCCCCCAAGTTCGCCCCAAGAGGCTCCAAAAACGGCTCCAAGACGGCCCAAGGGGGCCCCAAGAGAGTCCAAGAGGGCCCCAAGACGGCCCAAGAGAGTCTCAAGACGGCCCCAAGAGGCCCCCAGAAGATCCCAAGAGACCTCCAAGAGGCCCCAAGAGACCTCCAAGAGGCCCCAAGAGACCCGAAGAGGCTCCCAAGAGGCCCCAGGAAGCCCCAGGAAGCCCCCAGGAGGTCCCCAAGAGGCCCCGAAGAGGCCTCCTCCAAGAGCACTCCAAAGAAAGCCCCAGGAAAGCCCAAAAGTGGCAACATCCATAATGTTTTTGAAAATGCGCAATCATGTTCGCGCTTCCGCCTTTTCGCCTCCCCGGCGCTCCGAGGCAGTCCAAAAGGTCCCCACGACCGCCCCAAACCAGCCCAAGCCGCCCCAAAGATAACCCCCAAGCGCCCCGAGAATGCCCCAAGACAGCTCCAGAGGCGCCCAAGGCGGCCCAAGACGACCCCAAGAGAACCCCAAGAGGAGCCCAAAAGAGCGAACTCCAACTGACACTTCGAGCTTTCCGCACCAAGAGAACCTCGCGAGACCACCATCAGTACCCCAAGAAGCCCCCAAGAGACCCCAAGAAGCCACCAAGAGACACAACAGAGATCAGAAGAGGCCCCCTAAGCAAGCCCCAAGAGGCTTCAATACTGCCTGCCTCCAAGAGGCTCCGCTGAGGCTTCCCAAGCGAGCCCCGGGAGGCTCCAATGCTGCCTGCAAGAGGCTCCACAGAGGCTTCCCAAGAGGCATCATAGAGGCCTCCACTGGCGGGATGGGCCGAAGGCCATTAAGACATACACGTAGCATTTCGCCAAAGCGGCATCCCTGGAAATTCGGACCCTTTCAAATCCCCTGGGCCTGCTTTGTAATATTGAGTCGTTGTGTGACGGCTTTTGGGCCCAACGAGGCCCTTGTTTCAATACGTTGGAAGTCTAGGTCCTCCTGGGGAGGGGTGTGGGAAACGGCCATCCTCAGCGACTGCACAGGCGCCCCCTGCTGCTGCTGCTGCTGCTACAGAATGTTGGGTTGAGAGAGGAGAAGGTGAAGCACAAGGCAGACATGTGCACGCAAAAGCCGACGGCCCGTCCTGGCTTTGACCCTCTGGTCGAACTTGGAAAGTAGATCGTCGCACTCCTCGTGCAGGGTGGAGATCTGGCCCTCCGGGAGCGGCGTGGAGAGGAGAGGAAGGACGCTAATGAGAGAGCAGCGGCACGGAAGATGCAACAAGACATAGTTTCTTAGCGCACCTCCCTCCCAAACAGCTCGGCACAATTGGATAGAAGCCGAGCGCGGAGAATTGATAGATATTGATAGATCCGTGCCCGATTCGAACTCGGCAATAGAGAACTCCTGGCCTGAGCAAGTTCACTTGAACAGAGAAGGCACGTGCTGCGCAACGAACCCATCGATTCTGAATGTGTCCAATGTGAGGATGCCCAGACATCCGGCTGCTCCAATTTTTGTCGATGCGTGGGCCCTGGAATTCTAGACCACTTCCCTAGGGCTTGTTTTTCGTCTCGGGTCGTTTTTTCCCGCTCTCGAAGCATGACAAGGGTTCCTGGAGGTCGAAAACGGCCAAAAACCGCCCAGGGATGGGCCGAAAGGATGCGCCAAAGGGATGGGGCGCCCATGTTGACATTTTTTCGAATGGGGATGGGCTGAAGGAATGGGCCGAATGGGAAGGATGCAAGGGTCACCTAGGAAAATTGCTCATCCTTGCTAAACGGATTGACTGTACTTGGAGACACGCGCGCTGCTCGTCGGAGAAAACAATTCGCACCGGGATTAAGACATCGCGGTGGTAGTCTAAGCGGTCGCAGCCGAGAACGGGCAGTGCAGAGGGAGGGAGGAGGAGGAGGAGGAGGAGGAGAAGGAGGAGGGGGGCCAGTGTAAACCCAAGAGGCATCAACGATGCTGAAATAAACCCTCCCTCCAAGCTCCCTCTTCATAGGCCCCTACAATTGCTTCTTATATTTGTCATGAGGGAACTGCCTCGGAAGACAAATATTTGAAGACCCTGAAGCATGCCAAAGCATTGTTCTCAAGATTCCAGCGGCACGGATCAACCTGACTGTTGCGTCTTGACGACCCGGAATCGTGCCAGAACGCCATTCCTGGGACTTGAATACTGCGAATCAACATCAGATGTGCACCCTCATAAGCCTGACTCCGTCCTAAACACCATTTCTGGTACGATCATGAGGGAACCCGTGAAACTCTTTCCAAATTTTAATACGAATGTGCGCGGCGCTGGGGCGAGAACCACATGTTGAAAACCACTCGCCCTCAATCCGCGAAGCTCTGGCAAATGTTTAAAACGAAAATGCGCGGCGTTAAGCGAGGACCACATTTTGAAAACCACTCGCCCTCAATCCGTGAAATCCCTGCACAATTTTGAAATGAATGTGCGCGGCGCTGAAGCGAAAACCACATTTTGAGAACAACTCGCCCTCAATCCGTGAACCTCAGCAGAAGGTTCCCTGGAAGCGCGGCGCGAAGGCGAGAACCACATTTTGAAAACCATTCGCCCTCACTCCGTGAAATTCCTGCAAGTGTTTAAGACGAATGTGCGCGGCGCGAAGGCGAGAGGCACATTTTGAAAGCGACCCGCCTTCCATCGGCGAAGCTGTTGCCAATTTTTTAGCTTCAGAACCAGACATGAGAAAGTCTCAAGCGAAACGCCCGGCCCGCCCTAAAAATTGGCCTCGGGGTGCGACAAGGAGAAGTTATTCATAATGAGAAGGAATGGACGAGGAGGAGGAGGAGGAGAAGGAGGAGGCGGGGGAGAAGAAGGAGAGCGAGAGGAGAAGGGAATTATACAATGTACCGCCTGCAGGGAACGCCAACATGCGACAAGGGACGCAGGCAGTGCAGCGACTTTCTCCGAGCCTATCGTCAAATCAATGCTTGGCCCGAGCAGGGTGCAGTCATCAAAGCGCTTTGGCAATCTTCGACTGCGATGCCCCGTACTCTCCTCTCGAGGTCCCTCGGGCATTCTCGGAACGAGCAATTTCGAACGAAGTTTCCGCTTGGCACTGTCCCCAAACGTTCGGAGAATCCTGTCACGGTCTCCGACTTCGTGTTTTTCGTCCCACAATGCGGACACCCGGATGTTTAGTCCACTTCCCTGGGACCGGGCCTTAATGCTGACTCGTGGTGTTGTCGGTGCCGACGGTGCGAGCCCAGGATGTCAAACAAAAACCTAAATCCTTCCGTTTCGATGCAGCGCGGGGAAGTCTGGTTGCACTGGTACCCTGACAAGTCCAGGCAGGCCCCCTTGCTCTGCTTCATGGATCTCCTCGACGCCCCTCCTGCTCTCTCCGACAAGCCGTGGACTCTGCCCAGGATAGCGGCTCACCGAGCGGACTTGATGCCGAGGGCCAGGCAGGGGGATCCGAATGCACACAAGCGCTCAGGGGGAACGATAGGAGGGGATCCTGCTCATGGGGGAGCGGTGCCTCGGACTCGGCGAAATTATCGGCGATGGATCGGCGGTATACTCGCCATCGTTCGGACGTCCATTCCTCGTGCATTTGCCGGTGTCGTGCGTGCATTGTTTCGTAAGATGAAAAGGCTCCTCGGTGGATCTTGCCGAAGAAAGATACACCCGTCCAAGCGATGCCAAGTATATAGGCCCACGGCTGCGAAGCCGCGAAGCCCCTGTTCCCGGGTGGGGTGGGGAGCCCAGGCGGGAGGGGCGATGAATGGGCGATTAGGGGTCGGTGCTTCCCGCCCGGAGGGAGCCAGGCCCCCCCCCCCCCTGTCGTAGCCCCTGGAGTACTCGCGTGGCCGACTCCACATGCCTTGGGCCAGATATCGGCCAGCGCAGACTCCAAGCAGATCAGAGGTGAGAGGTGGACTGGAATGGACTGAGATAGATTGGACTGGGGCAGACTGCGCCGGACTGGGGAGGACTCTACTCCGCTACCTTCCTAGATTCGACTCTACGCTAGGCTATGATACCGAAACCTACTCTACCATCTACCCTTCTATACTATATGATACTCTACTCTGCTCTACTCGATCCCCTACTCTACAGTACCATACCCTCCCCATCTTAGGCTGCTCTACTCCACTCCAGTCCTGCGCATATCCAAACTCTACTCTCTACTATACTCGGCCCAAACCAACTCTTCTCTATTCTTCTCGAATGTACTCCACTCTGTTTTATTATGCTCTACTGTACTCTACTCTAGTACACTATAGCATACCAGACTCTACCCGACCATCTACCCCACTCCACTCTGGTTTGCTCGATTCTACCATGTTATACTCTACCCTTACCCTACCCTATGCCACCCTACCCTTCTCTACTCTGCTCTGCTCTACTCTGCTCCTGCTGTGATCTACTTATACTACACACTACTCGGCCATACCGTCTCTTCTTCGACCTTCCTATGCGCTACACTTCTCTACACTCCACTACTCTAATACGTTACCCGACTCTGCTCTACCATCTACCTTACCCTACTCTACTCTACTCTGCTCCAACGCTACCCCTACTCTACTCTACTCTACTCTACTCTACTCTCCTCTATTCCGCTCTACTCGACTCACTCTACTAGACTCGGCTCTGCTCTATCATGCTCTGCTCGACTGATATGAGACGGTCTACTGACATGCCCCACTCTGCCCTACTCTCTACTCTAATATGCTCTACTTTACTTCTGCATTTGACGACTGTTGGAACACCATTGGAATAGCCACAGGAAGCCATTGAAATAACACAGGAAACCGTGTGGGTAATTAGAAGAGGAAGCCGTGCGGACAGCAGAGGACGCCATGTGCAGAATCAGACGACCGCAGTGGACAAACAGAGGGGGGAACAGTGGACCAGCTCTCTATATGGATTGTCCAAGGACTCCTGTAGGCACGCCTACTTTGAGAAACACGCCGACGCCTCCTGGAAGGAACGCCCACCGCCACTACGAGACCTATGTTGCTTCACATCAGCAATTTAGCCCCTGCTGACTTTTTCCAAAATAATATATGGGGATGAAACGCTGCCGCTGGATATATCGAGCACAGTTGATCACAACACAAACGCTCCTGCGATCCCCGCCAAAATGGCAAGAAATGGTAAGCTCAGATCCGCATGGCTACATTGCAACCGAACCGCTTGACCACCATCTCGACCGAACTGGCGGAATTCGACCACGCGTCCGACAAAATACGTTCGACGAGGGATGCGCTGCACAATGCCCCGGCCACGGGCAGCGCTACGAGGGAAAGCGGGCCCTTCGATGTGTCACTTTCAGCGCCCGTGAAAGTGACACCTCCCAGGGCCCACTTAAAGAGCACCAGAAAGGCTCCAAGAAGGCCCCGAGAAGGCCCCAGGGCGGCACCAAGAGGGCTCCCAGAGGGACCCAAGAGAGGCCCCAAGAAGGGCCCAAGAGGGCCCTCCGCGGTGTCACTTTCAACGCCCGTGAAAATGACACCTCCCAGGGCCCACTTAGGGCCTCAGAAAAGCTCTAAGAAGGCCCCGAAAGGGCCATAGAGAGCCGCCCTGGGTTCAACTCCGCGTGGCGGAGTTGGAAGCGATAACTTCAATACCCTACTGGAGGCCTCTTAGGGGCCCTAAGACAGCACTGAAGAACCCCATCGGGGCTTTTTCAAAGGCAGAGGAGGGCGCAAAAAGGGGCCTCAGTGAGCCCCTGGTCTAACTCCACCTGGCGGAATTGGAAGCGATATCGCCCGGCGCCTTCATGGAGCCGCTCGGAGCTTCCAGGACGGCTCCAGAAGGCCCCAGGAGGGCCCCAAGAGGATCGAACGACGATTCCTGGAAGTGCACCAGTGAGACCCTTGTTGACCTCCGCCTGGCGGAGTTGGAAGCGACAATTTCCAGTGCCCTCTTGGGGCCTCTGGGGGGCCCCTCGGAAAGCTTTGGGGAGCACAGTGAAGGCCTTCGCAGGGCCGCGTAAGAGCCGTACCAGGGCCGCATGTGTGCGCGGATGGGGGCGACGAGTGCTGACGCTGACGAATATGAGAATGATGAGGGCGATCAAGGCTGGCCCGAAACAAATCCTGGCGCCATTGCAGGCCGCCGATTATCGGCCACGCCGCCAGGACGACGCCAAGCAACAAAACGACACCAACCAACAAACCGACACCAACCAACAAACCAACAAATCGACACCGGCCAACAAAAGGACACCAAG